CCCGCTCACCGCCGGGGGGGGGGGGTATCAGGAGCCGCCCACACCCTGTGGCCGTTTCCCCTCGGCAAGGCAGTGCATTAGGAAGGGCAAAAAATTACGCCAACTCAATTAGAGACATTTGGAAGCTGCAGATGGCGCGCAGCCCGGCCAATTACCTTTCATTACGCCCGGGCTGGCCCCCGCGGCGGAGCCGTGAAAAGACCGCGGCTGCGAGCGAGCGAGCGCGCGCCCCTCGTTGCTTCCTCCTCAAGTTCAGAAGTTCTTTGTTGCTGGTCGCGAAGGAGGCGGCGTGGCGGGAAGAGGGGGAAGGAGCGCTTTGTATTTCCATTATGGCTATTATATGCCATCAGATTCACAGGTTTTCCAATTACAGCGTTCCTGGCTTCAGCCTTTTCTCATCTCTCGCCATCCTGGCGGGAAAACAAGTTTCCTTTGGAATTCCTTTTTTCTGATTCAAAGCTGGTTCGTTTCTTGGTTTTCTGGTGCCCACTGGTTTTCTGTTCTTTGATAAAGTTTGCTTTGTCTCAATAAGCCCGCTGGCCCACCCAAGACTGACTGTTGTGGAGGCAAAGATGGCAACAAATGAGGCCTGTCCGTTTGAGTCAAGGGGGCAAAGTTTCCATAACCAGCCAAGTTACTTTGGCCCCCTCGAGTATTCCTGCCCCATCCTTAACAGTAAAAATACAGTAAGACATTGAATAGCTAAGGATTCACAACACTCAAAATCCTCTGCTGGCTTCCATTATGTCTACCTAATGGTAGGGCAGACCCTGCTTTTCAAATCAGTTTTCTTTGGAGCAGGAGCATTGAAATGCAGGGCTTCTTTTCATGTGTTTGTTTCTAAATCCAAAGTCCACAGGACCAAATGGCTCAAAAGAGTATACTAGTTTACCATAACTTTTAATCAGGCAAGCATGGGAGAGCCAAGAAACACTTAAGTCCAAAAGTTAGGTTAGGTGCTTGTTCTGTCAGACCTGCAGTTTAAAAAATCTCACAGTGAAGATAGATTGAATATATTGATAGAAGTATAGAATATAAGAGTAAATACACAAGGAGTGACATAATGAAAAACCATTTCTATACCTTTTCTCCTGTCTGAAATCCCAAGTATAAAATAGTGAAAGTGTAAATGAACTTGGAGTGACTCATCTGAGGTAACATGGTTTGCATTGTATTGTTGGGCACTCTGCCATAGTAGGCAAAAAAATGTATTTAGCCTCTACCCTGACAGATAGATGCTATTAGTTGTACGTTTTCTTCTTGTAGATAAACTTGTAAAAATTTGTCTATTGACAGTACATGCACAGCCACAGCAATACATAATTGCACCTATACTTTCACAGTGGTTTACCCAGCAAATTATTGTTTGAATTATCAGATAAATTGCAGATTAAAATGGGCTTATATAAACATGCAAGGAGAAGCTTCTAAATTCCATTAGTGATGTGTCTCATCTGAAAATCAGGTGTCTGATGCCATATTTGGAGCTGTATATAAACTGCTGGAATATATAAGCTGAGGCTAGAGTAGAGTGCCTAAGATATTCCACTTGGTTAAGAATTTGATTGACCTTGACAAATATAGAGTATTAACATATTTTTAGATGTGATGAGATTTATAATAACTATATGTAACAGAAGAATGTTATATTAGCACATAACAAAGAGACTGTTAGTAATAAATATGATGGGCACAAATATTTAGGATTAAGGATTCCATACACCTGGCTATGAAATCTAAATGTACATATATATTATTTTGTAAGTTTGTGTTAATTTTTGTAAGATAATTGTTGTTACTCAATGGAACCCATTTTGCTACAAAGTGGGAAAGGGAAGGGTTATTGAAAGGCCAAGTCAAATCCTGAAGTCTAGGAAAATTACAAATAAAATATCTTTTTTGCTGTCATAAACTGGAGTAATTTTCTTTATTCTGATGGTTTGAAGCTAGGTGATTTATACATTTCTTTCTCAAATCTTTGGTAAAACAAATCTGTGTTTATCAGGTGAGTAGACAAAGCCTTTTGTATTATTAAGGATTCAGCCTAGCAGTTTTCTACTTCATTTTTTGAACTCTCCTCTTTTCTTCTTTTATCTCAAACTAGATTGTCAGGATGCAGTTAAATAATTTTTTTCTCTATCCAGATGCATATTGTTCCTTCGTTCTGCTTGTCAAGAATATTATTAGTCCTTTTTTATTTTTTCAGTATTGACATGTCTAGTTGCGCAGCCAGGATAATTCACAGTGAGTATTATGCTGCACTTTTATGTTAGCATTCAAATAAGTCCATTGTCCAAATCAAATTGCAGTTTAATATTGTGGGTTGACTTTCTAATACATTTACTCCTTACTATTTCTCAGCATGAAAAATAACTTTAGGAGGTTTTGGGTGCTGGATTCATCTTCCAGTAAAAGCTTGTGTAGGAATGTGTGATAGAATGCTCCATCTTTGGCCCCTGTCCTTTTGGAAAGTAATCTTCCTGACTGCTCTGGGCAACCATCCATGTTTTCTCCTTTTCATCTCCAAACTTTGGCTGATTTTGAAGAAAATTAGGAATCAATTCCTTGTTAGCCATTTTCTCTTTCCAACTTTGTAAGTAGCTCTCTAGGCTTCACAGACGTTCTATTCCTATCTTCTCATATCTTACTCATTAGCAAATTATAACCTCTGTTCCAGGCCAAGGAAACATCCTGGGTCATGGGATCCCTATCAGAAAAACACAGCCTTCTGTCAGCTCCACAGCCATGCTGATGCCTTTTTCATGGTTGATTTGTCAACCTGAAATTCTTGAAGGTATCTAGACTTACAGTATTATTTCATGAATGAAGGACTCCTTCCATTTAAGGAGAAAAGTAGGATCTAGTGGATGCTTCTTTCTGAGGAAAGGTGGTGAGAAAGTATTTTTCCTGAAGACCAACAAGGAGTATGATTTCTGTTGGGAGGCTACTCCAAAGCACTGGCACTACCATGGAGAAGCAGTGCTTTCTAGCTTCTGCCCTCCCCCCACCTGTCAAAAATATGGGACTATAAAGAGTTTCTGCCTGGAAGATCTAATGGATGGGCCAATTCCAGTTGAAGCAGGTGGTCTTGCACATACCCAGGTGCCTAGACAGGATGACAGATTGATAGATATCTCAACTTTTCTAGTATCTGCAGTAAGCCCCCCCCCCCAAAAAACTTTGCCTGCTCCAATATAAAGTCAGAAAATAATAAACAAGAGAAATGGAGAACAATTGCCTCTTTCCTTTGATGTGCTTCTTACTTGATGTTAACAGCTTAAAACTTAAGCTGTTGAAAATTAAATTAAATTAAATCAATGAGTTCTATGATCTCAGCCATTGTAGCTTACAAATCATCAGTAATAGATTAGTGTATTGTGAACCACACTGGTTGCAGTTTATGTAATTTACTTTGATTAAACATACCATAGCTTAATGTGAGGTGTGAACTTCCTCCTTGTGGATATTGGTGGGAGACATTAGGGATGTTAGAAGTTTAAGTTTTAATTTTTTAAACTTAATTAAGATTGCTTACAATTCTAATGATGTTAAAATTCAGGGTGGTTTCCAAGTTTTGAATCTCTGCAATCAGAAAAAATACTGAGTTCAGTAAGCTTACTCCCAGTATCTACAGTACATCTAAGAGTGCAACCATGTCCTGAAAGCTTAACTGGGAGATTTTCTTAGTTATTTGTCTTGGATTTCTATGTTAGTTCCTAATGGAAAAATAGGATATAATTTTCTGTACCTTGGGCAGTGTGACTATGAAATTTCCCTGGGGATATGGTGATGTGTATTTTTACAATGAGCTTTTGTACTTCAAAATTTATCATTATGAAATGCCTCCTACATTTCTGTTTTGCCCTATATGTTTATTGCTTTCTTACAAGAAAGAAGATGAGAAGAAACTGATTCCATCTCAACCATTGGTATGTTTTACAGGGGGCACTTTATGTACCATCTCCTTAATATAAGAATAAACGTAATCAAGCTTTTTTCCCTTTACCTATGTTAAGTTCTCAAATATTGTTAATAGAAATGCTATCCTTCAACTGCAGAAATTCCCAGGCTAACCAAACAAGAAACAAGGATAACAATCAATTCAAAGTAATTTTTAAACCAAAACAGTAGAAATACTATACTCACCAGATTAAAACCAAACTCATATGTCCCTGATCACAAATCAAATTTAGGGCCAGGTAAGTTATCAAGACTTTAGTAACAACTCAATAGCAAACCTGAAGAGAAGCTTCTGAATAGGGCTATAATATCTGGGCAAATTTAGATAGGAAGTTCATGTAGAAGGAAATGATTCTTTAACAGAAATGTAGATTGTATAGAATTTAATTTGGATATATCACAGAATATTTTGCTATAATTGTATCCAACCACACTTTTATCCAAGGAGTTCAAAGCCATTTTCTAACCTTAAGTTGTAAGTTAGGATCAGAACTTTGTGGTTAGTGGGGATTTGAACCTAGCTTTGCAGTATACAAATCCAGTATTACCACACTGAAAGTGCCATAGTGTCAATGAGGAAATAACATTTATGCCACTTTGTAAAGAGAATAATTCATTTTCTTTGTCTCCAGTTTTAGATTTTCAATTAATAGTATTACAGGAACCTATTTGAACTTTTTATTTGCTACTATCTGGAATTTGTTTTTGTGACCTAAACTGAGTCATTTTCTGCACCTTTTAGGTTTGAGAAGAGGAC